ATCCGGGTGCATTTCATGTGACGTGATCCAAAAACACGCTCTTAAACGGCGTTCACTTTCATAAAAAACTAATTAAAAGCGGCTAAAAAAATTTATAAAATTGCACTATAGGTTTGAACATGCATAAAACCAGATTTTTAGCCATTTATAATAATTTAAGAGACCGTGCTAGAACCACGGGATCCGGGGGTGCCTAACACCTTCCCTCGGGTCAACAGAATTCCTTATTCAGAATTTCTGGTTCGCAGACTCCAATTGGGAAGTCGAATTTTTCCTCGATTTGGGATTTAAATTAAATCGGTGACTTGGGACACCAAAAGCCAATCCTTTCCCAAGTGGTGACTCTAAAAATAATAAATAATCCCATTTCGAATAATGTCACTTTAAATGGAAAAACTCCCTTATACATTATCCTTCGGGGTAGGTGTGTAAAAAAGGAGGTGTAACAGCATTCACCCAATCTGCATCCTGCAAAGCCTCAACAACATTTTTAGGTTCAATAATAGATAGGAAAGCATCAAAAGCACACAGATTCTTTAATTGTGATCTATTTTTGACTCCAGATGTTGGATCAGTGATTATGTTCTCAATAGGATGAGAATTCTGATACTTGTAAGGTTTCACAACCATCTGGTTTCTGCTAGATGTTTCTCCCATGTTCTGTTGCTGTGGAACAGGATCATGAACAGATTCTTTTAGAGGATTAGTTTCAATTCCTCTTTGATCAGTTCCCCCTGTCAGGTTGCCCTGGATGAAAGAACCTGTTCTATCACCTGTTCCTTCTTTTGGTGCCACTTTAACTTGTGCTGAGACTTCAATTAAGTCCTTTACCAGTCCAATGGCTTCATCTTCATGTTCCTGTCTCTCAAAAAGAATGTTAGTTTCATCAAATACAACATGCACACTTTCTTCTACACACAGAGTTCTTTTATTGAATACTTTATATGCTTTGCTATGTGAAGAATATCCCTAGAATACTCCCTCATCAGTTCTGGGATCAAACTTACCTAGGGAGTTTTTTCCATTATTGTGCACAAAGCACTTGCATCCAAATGCCCTAAGATGGGATATATTTGGTTTTCTCCATTTAAGTAACTCATAGGGAGTCTTCTCTACAAGAGGTTTGGTCATGCATCTATTGATAATGTAACAAGAAGCATTTACAGCCTCTGCCCAGAAGCTAAGGGGCAGTTTACTAGAAAGAAGCATAGTCCTAGCCATGTCTTCAAGGGTCCTATTCTTTCTTTAAACTACTCCATTTTTTTGAGGAGTCCTAGGGGCAGAGAAGTTATGATCTATACCATGCTCATCACAAAGTTCAGCAAACTTAGCATTTTCAAATTCAGTTCCATGATCAGACCATATGGATGCAAGTTGATTACCTAGTTGTTTCTGAGTTTTCCTAACAAAAGCAGTAAACATGTCAAATGCTTCATCTTTAGATGTTAATAATAGTACCCAGGTAAACCTAGAATAATCATCAACTAGCACCATCACATATTTCTTTCCACCTCTGCTCAAGGTTCTCATTGGACCACAGAGATCCATATGAACCAGTTCCAACGACTTGGTTGTGCTTACCATTTTCTTATTTTTGAAGGATGATATTACCTGCTTTCCCCTTGCACAAGCCTCACAAACTTTGTCTTCCTTAAACTTGATGTTAGGTAGCCCTATCACCAAGTCCTTAGAGACTAATTTGTTAGCTGATTCAGACTAGCATGAACAAGTCTTTTGTGCCATAGGAGGAGATCATTATCCAACACACTTAGGCAGGTGAGTTCATTTTCTGACAAAGTAGACAAATCTACAATGTAAATATTGTTAACTCTTTTTCCCTGCAAAACAATCTTGTCGGTGATAAGATTAATCACAAAACATTTGGTAGAGGTGAATGCTACAAGGTTACCTCTGTCACATAGTTGTGACACACTAATCAGGCTGTATTTCAAGCCATCTATTAAGTAGGCATTCTCAATGGAGTGTGAGTCTGTCTTACCTACCTTTCCAACCCCAATAATCTCACCTTTCTTCCCATTACCAAAGGAGACATTACTCCCCTTTAAGTCCTCAAGTGAAAGGAAATGGTTCTTGCTTCCAGTCATATGTTTCGAGCAGCCACTATCCATGTATCATATTTGGCTACTTCCCTTCACTTGGACCTATAAAAAGAAATCAAGGGTTAGTCTTAGGAAACCAAACTAGTTTGGGTCCCTTTCTATAGGCAAAGGGGTAAATCAAATTCCTTTTAGCCCACTCAGGCAGCCTATTTTTCTTTTGAACAAAAGCTTTGTTCTTTTGACTGGCCCTTTCTTTTTCATTACATTTATTTTTGTAACGACCAGTCTTTCCACAGTGTGTGCAGATTTTGTTCTCAGGAAGAGTGAGATACTTGCTTTTAGGATCCCACTTAGGTGCTTGAGTCCCATAGCCAAGTCCTCTTTTGTTGCTACTGTGATGTTCTTGTAGACAGGAAAGTGCATCAGAAGCCTTGTTCCATTTGCAAGTTCTGTCTAGTTCATGTTTTACCTTCCCTAGATCTTCATTTAAGACTTTTATCTACTCATCCTTCCTGTACAACTCATCCTTCATTTTTTCCTAAGTTTTCTTCTAAGGTGAGTTGAGTGTGATCAGCTTTCTTTTTACCTGTTCCTAGTTTTAGTTTTAAGTTCTCAGACCTAAGTTCTAGGACACTGGTGTCAAGTTCAAGAACTTGTTTCTTCAACTCAGCATTTTTACTATCACTCTCATTAGCCCTAGATTCTAGATTTTTGCACTTGGCTTTTCGGATCACACATTCCCTAGACAGATCTTCTTTCTCATTGTTAATTATCTCAGACTCATCAATGAAGTCTAGCAATAGTTCAGAAAACCTTTCGTTAGACAGGAGTTTAATCTTGTCTTTGAGATGAAGGACATTTACCTCTTGTTCATCATCTGATTCTCCGATGGCCATAAGTGCTTGTTCATCTCCAGCTTCATCTTCTGAGTCCTCATCTGATGTTTCTCCTCAAGCAGCAACCATAGCCTTTGTTGATCCTTTGTTCCTTTTAGGTTGGACCTGTTCCTTCATCCTGTTCCTTCGTTCAACCCTTTCCTTCTTCCACTCAATTTCCCATTGAGGACAGTTCTTGATCATGTGATCAGTCTTACCACATTTGTAGCAACCCTCATTGGTCTGTTTCTCAGGAACCCTTGGTTTGTTGAAGGTTGTACCTCTTGAAGAACCCTTTCCTCTCATCAGGTACTTTTTGAAATCTCTTGTGATCATGGCCATTTCATCATCCTCCAGATCTGAACCTTCTGCTATTCTGAGAGCCAGACTTCTTTCCTTCTTGGGTGCATCCATTTTCATGGTTTGCCTTCTCAGTTCATAGGCAGTGAGGTTTCCAATCAGTTCATCCAGCTTGAGGGTAGCAATGTTCTTTGATTCCTGAATAGCAGTGATTTTGGTTTCCCAAGTCACTGGTAAGACTCTTGTCAAGATTTTCTCAACCTTGTCTTCTTCAAGGATAATTCTTCCAAGAGATTTAAGTTGATTTCTTAGTGTTGTGAACCTTGTGTACATCTCCTGGATAGATTCTCCTTCCTTCATAATAAAATTCTCATATTGAGAATAAAGTAGTGTTCCTCTTGATCTCTTTACTTTAGGAGTTTCTTCATGAGCCACTTGTAAAGTGTCCCATATTTCCTTTACAGTTGTACAACTTTGAATTATGCTGTACTCGTCTGGACCCAGTCCACACACAAGCCATTTCTTGGCCTTGGCATTCTTCTCCCATTTCCTCAAATCTTCAGCAGTGCAGTCAGCTCTTGTCTTTGGCACGTCCACTCCTTCAGCATTCTTCTTTGTAGTTGCTAGAGGACCATCAGTGACTGTGTCCCAGAGTTCATAGTCTTCTCCTATGATGTGATCTCTCATCCTGTTCTTCCACCAAGAATAGTACTGACCATTAAAGAGTGGTGGCCTAGTAGTGGATTTCCCTTCCCAGTTTCCAGGTGGTGCACTCATTTTGATCTTTTCCTAAGGTGTTAGCCTCTTCAAGGATAACCCGCTCTGATACCAATTGATGTTTTAAGCTTCAATGCCACACAAGGGGGGGGGGGTGATTTGTGTGGTACCCAATTTTTGCTTAACTACTCTATAGAAGAACCCGGTTCTTCTAGGTGTTCCAACTACTACTGTTTGCGAAATAATAAATACTGAAAGTAAAGAACACAGAGATTTTTACGTGGAAAACACCTGGCACAAAAGGTCAAAAAACCACAACCTACTACTCAGTAGGATTTTCCCAAACTTCCACTAAAATCACTGAGCCAAAATAGCATTTACCAAAACTCTTTATAAACCTAAGGATTAACTCTAATCCCGTTGTGCCACACAGCCTCAAATGCTGCGACAACTTCAAGTTAACTCTAACTTGAATACTCAAAGTACCTAATACAAATACTTCTATGAAAGCTGAAAGGTACAACTTTAAACCACCTACTACAATTAAACTAGAATAAAAGAAAGACACAATGGAACTAATTCTTTTATCTCGTTCAAGTAGCTTCAGGAGTGCACACTCAAATCTCACATAAATTGCTTGCAAAATTGCCTTGATCTTTTGTTCTCAATTTAGTTTAACTTTTGCGTTTGTGCAATACCTGTAAAAGAGAACAATCACTATTATTTAATAGGTTAGTAATCAGAGTTTGATTGGGATTCAATTGCTGCTCTTCTATTGTAGAAGAGTTCATGATGATATCAAACTCTAACACTATCTTTATCCTGGATTGTGTTCTCTTCATATAAGGAGACTTTCTCTCCTTATCTAATATGCAACCTTTTCGATCAGATCTGGAGATATTGCTGCTTTATCAGTAGGACTTATCTCCTTTACGTGCATCTCATATGTATAGGTTGATCATGACTGTGCTTCACAAGATGGACCTGGTTCATGACTGAGTTCTTTTGTCCTTCTTCAAGACTGCACCTATTCTTGGGCCAACAACATTCATAATAACTGTGCACAACATTGTCCAATGGCGATATATTTAGCCTCCAATGTGGATAGTGCAACTGATCCTTGTTTCGTACTGTTCCAAGATATCAGTGTGTTTCCAAGTAATTGACATGTTCCATTAGTGCTTTTTCTGTCTTCCTTATCATCTGCAAGATCAGCATCTAAAAAACCTTCCAGTTTAAAATTGTTAGAACGTGGGTACCATAATCCATAGGAAACAGTTCCAATGAGATAATGAATTATTCTCTTTACGGCAGTCAGATGTGATTTTTTAGGATCTGGCTGAAACCTGGCACATTTACAAATAGTAAACATAATATTTGGTTGACTAGTAGTTAGATAAAGAAGAGAACCAATCATTCCACGATATTTAGTTTCATCGACAGGATTTCCCTTTTCATCTTTGTCAAGATTTGTTGACGGACTCATTGGTGTGCCAATAGCTTTAACACTGCTCATACCGAACTTCTGAATTAGCTCCTTTGTGTATTTCGTCTGCCATATAAAAGTTCCTTCTTCAGATTTTTGAATTTGAAGTCTAAGAAAGAACGTTAGCTCTCCCATCATACTCATTTCAAACTCACTTTGTATAAGATTGAAAAATTCCTTGCACAAAAGAGGGTTAGAACTACAAAAAATAATATCATCAACGTAAACTTGAATAATAAGATTAGCTTCCGATGATCTTTTGATGAATAGTGTATTGTCTACTTTACCTCTTGTAAACCCGTGATCAAGTATATGGAAGATGATTCTCAGCTTGAAGCTTTAAATTTGAAAGGTTTGACCAAGTTTTGACCTTTTAGTATTCAATCTCGGATTTGGATCTTTATGAGTTGGTTAGCTCCGTTAGGTGATTTTGGACTTGGGAGCGCATTCGGAATGTGATTTGGAGGTCCGTGGTGGAATTACGCTTGAATTGGCGAAATTGGAAATTTGGCGATTTTTGGTCAGCAGTGGAAATTTTGATATCGGGGTCGGAATGGAATTTCGGAAGTTGGGGTAGGTTCCTGGTATCATTTCTGACGCGTGTGCAAAATTTGAGGTCATTCGGACGAGGTTTGATAGGTTTTGGCATCGGTTGCGGGATTTGGAAATTTAGAAGTTCTTAGGTATGAATCTGAGTATAATTTGGTGATTTGATGTTGTTTTGAGTGTTCCGAAGGTTCGCCTAAGTTTTTATGTTTATATATGACGTGTTGGTATGTTTGGTTGAGGTCCCGAGGGCCTCAGGACGGATGGTTAACGGAGAGTTTGGATGTCGAATAATGTAGCTGAAGTTGCTGCTTCTGATGTTTCCGCACCTGCGGAGTGGGAACTACAGGTGCGAGGATGCAGGTGCGCTCAGAGAACCGCAGATGCGAAAATGGAAGGCCAGGGTTGGACCGCAGATGCGAAGGATCGGCCGCATCTGTGAGGTCGCATGTACGATTTAGGGGTCGCAGATGCGGATATGGTGCAGTAAGTGAGTTCCGCACCTGCGAGGGAAATTCCGCAGGTGCGGTGCCGCAGAAGCGGAAATGTGACCGCAGGTGTGGTTTTGCTGGGCAGAAAACCCTAGCTCGAGGTTTTGTTTTTCATTTTTCAATTTTGGGCTTGAGGAACTCGAGATAGAGGCGATTTTTCGAGAGATTGGAAGGATCAATGTTGGGGTAAGTGATTCTAACCTATAATGGTTTAAATTTCATGAATCTATGGTTTTATTCATCATCTAATTGAAAAGTTGATCTAGAAATTTGGAAATTTAGGGCTTGAAAATTGGAGAGTGGATTTTGATGATTTGAGTGACCAAATGAAGTCGGATTTCGATAAAATTTGTATGTATGGACTCGTGAGTGGTTGGGCTTTCTAGTTTTGTGACTTTTGTCGGATCCCGAGACGTAGGACTGGGGTCGGGTTTGAGAGAATTTCAGGATTTCTGCCTAATTTGATAGTTTTTCTTGTGGAAATCATCCCATTAGCGTATATTGATGGTATTGTTAAGGTTGTGGATAGATTCGGAGCGATTGGAGGCCAAATCGAGGGGCAAGAGCATCGCGGAGCAGGGATTTGACTGGTTTGAGGTATGTAATGATTGTAAATCTTGGCCTGAGGGTATGAAACCCCGATTTTCACATCGTTTCACTACTTTGAGGTGACGCACATGCTAGGTGACGAGCGTGGGCGTGCACCATTAGAGATTGTGACTTGGTCCGTCCCGTAGCAACTATTAAGTTGTGTATTTGACTAAAACTATATGATACTTATGTGTTTTAGAAGAAATTTTTATAAATTAGGTTGAATGCCATATTTGGGCCTCGTGCTAAAGCTATTTGGACCCTTATGAGCCTTTTCTTATTATCCTCTCACTGCTTTGATTGAAAATCTATACTTAGCCATGCTATGTTTGCTGATTTCATAACTCAGTCTTTCTTACACCGTGTTGATGCATATAAAATGTTATTTTAGGCTGAGCACCCTAATTTTTACTGTTAGACCGAGTGGCTTGAGAGGGTTATGACTGAGTGAGACCGAAGGCCTGTAATTGTGAGGATATTCAGAGTAATCACGTGAGTTGTCCGTGCGGATTCTGATATTGATACTGTAGCACGTGAGTTGTTTGTGCACCACGTGAGTTGTCAGTGGGGATTATAGCGCTTGGGCTATAAGAGCCCCTCCGGAGTCTGTACACCCCCAGTGAGCGCGAGTACCCTGAGTGAGTGATATGATATTTTGCCCGAGGGGCTGTTCTTGATTCATGTTGTGCCCGAGGGGCTGTTTACGAGTGATTGTGAGGGATGCTATAGGGGCTGTATATGAGTGACTGTGAGGTTTGCCTGAGGGGCTGTTTATGATTCATGTTTGCCCGAGGGGCTGTTCACGAGTGATGTTTTGCCTGAGGGGTTGTTTGTGTTTTCATCATTTTTCTCACCGTTTCATCACTTTGTTTGAAAACTGTTGAAAGATGTTTTAAACGGTTTTTACTGAAACTGGATTTAAATAAGCTGAGTTGATTCAAAACCCTGATTTTAAAAGGCCTGTTGTATCCTTCTGAGATTTCATAATATAAACGGTATATGTTTTATTGCTCGTCACTACTGCTCAGTCTTTATTTACTTTTATTATTTACCGAGTTGGCGTACTCACATTACTCCCTGCACTTTGTGTGCAGATCCAAGGGTTGCTGGACGTGCTAGTGAGTGTTGATTTCATCCCTCGCGAATCTGTTGGAATTAGCAATATAGCTGCATGGCGATCGCAGCCCTGCTCTTCTCCCTCCTATCTTCCTATAGATGTTATTAGTTGGTTTCCAGACTGTATTAGTCTTAGTATTATCGGACAGTTCTTAGTAGATGCTCATGACTAGTGACATCCCGATGTCGGGCTTTTCTTTCCGCATTTTGTTATTTAGATTTATCTTATGAAGTTTTATTAATTAAATAGCTTGAAGTAACCTTTAAATTGAAATATCGGGTTGTTTCGGTAAGAGAGTCGGCTTGCCTAGTTCCACGATAGGCGCGATCATGACAGGGTTGGTTTGTGGGTCGTGACATGAACCCTCCAACTTACTGTAGAAAATAGAAAACTAACCAAGTGAGTTAACCCTTAACCCGAAAATGAGTAGCTTCAGAAGTCGTTTGGTACGTGGATGATGATTAACAATCCTGGGATTAGATGCAAAATTATTTTATCTCACATTTGATTGAAATTTTAAATCCTGAATTAGCACTTTCGTGATTAATTAATCCCGCAATTGGGTATTATTCTATCCCAAATTAGGGTTAGATAATAATTCCGGGAATAATAACACTAAAATGACAAAGATGCTCTTTTTCGGGGCCTTTTGAACAATCCAAGATTAATATTAGGAATAAAGTTTTATCCGAATTTATCTAATATACATCAAATACTTATTTATATTATATTCGATATATCTAAGTTTTAGTCCAATAAACCACATATCTTCCAATAAAAATATATTAACTAAATTATTATAATCCCATTAATATAATTCCGGGATAACTTCTTCCTTACAAAACGGCCAATAAGTGTTTGAAACCACACTCATTTTTTTCAAAGTTTGAAAACGTGGGGCAGAATTTGAAGGAAGTAGTATTTTAGTTCTACAACCTGTCACCCATGAGTTTACAGGTTGGCAATGCACTGCCCATTGATGGCAGTAACACAGCTAGAATACAAAGGCCATCCCTTATTTTTGTCTAAAATTTATTACTCCTATGTAAAAAAAAAAAAAAAAAAAAAAAAAAAGGGACTAATCAACAAGTTAAGTTTTGTGTAAATTCTAATATATAAAGATTTTCAGTTCTTTAATTGATATTTAAAATTTGTAAAAGTTAAGAAGCAATAAATTGCAAAACTTTGTAATTTATATAGATATACTTTAAAATATGAATAAATCATGACAAAAGAAATATAATTTGACTCTTTAAAGTTTTAATAGCAGCAGTAACATCGTTATTATTGTTCTTAGAAGAATGGAACATCATCATTACTATTACTTCCTCCGATTTTGCTTATTTGTTGTTTAAGATTTTAATTGGGTTACCATTAATAAAATATTTGATATCATATCATAATAATTTTTTGTTAAATCACCCTTATCTTTTCTTAAATAATTAATTAATGACTGTTTACGAGTCCTTTTGGAGCAGTAAGAATGAAACTAAAAAGAAAAATATCACCTTCTGGATTTTGAAAATGAGTACTCTCTCTCCCAATTTATATAATACTTTTCGCTTATTGAGATTTAAACTTTTTATTTTTGATCATAAATGTAGACATAGAATCTCAAAATCTTCTGAAATAAAATTTACATATTTGAAAACTAGTAAAAAGTACTATTACCTCCGTTTCAAAAAAAAATAAACTCTTTCAAAATTTGTAAACAATTTACCTTTGAAATTTTTGTTTTACCCTTAATAAGATGATTTATAACCACATAAATATTTATGATGCGTTTTAGATCACAAGTTTTAAGTTTTCCTTTTTTCCTTAAACTGCATACACAGTCAAATATGTTCAAACAATTGAGATGGAGGGATTAAAAGTTATAATAATTTATAATTTAAAATATTTAAAAGATATATGTAATATTTTTGAACACTCTTTTTAGTTGAAGTGATAAATAAAAAAGGACCTAATGACGTTGTTATTAAGTAGACTGTACTGTAAGATATATTTATTTTGTCTCATTGCTGCACATAATTGACGTAACTTCCTGCTACATTACTCAATGCATAATGCATTCTCACCTCCTATTTATACCTCCCTCCTGTCATCTCTCCCCCTTTATTTTTCTCATACATACAAATTGTTCATTCATCCATTTTCTACTAATACAATTGCAAGTAAATCAATCCTCTCTTCTTGAATCAGATCACAAAAGCACAGCAGCAAAATGGGTATATGCAGTTCTTGCGAATCTACATCAGTAGCTACAGCAAAATTAATACTACAAGACGGAAGATTACAAGAATTTTCTTATCCTATAAAAGCTTCATATCTTTTACAGAAAGATCCAAATATCTTTATTTGCAATTCAGATGAAATGGAGTTTGGAGATATTGTATCAGCCATAAATTCTGACGAAGAGCTTCAATTGGGTCAACTGTATTTTGCTTTACCTTTGAACCGGCTGAAACGTAAGCTTAAGGCGGAAGAAATGGCGGAGTTAGCGGTGAAGGCTAGTTCTGCATTGAATAGTATTTGTGGTAAAGAGAATTGTGGGTGTCGTAATAAAGTAGTTTTATTTTCAGGAGAGAAAGGTGGTGGGAAGTTGGGGAAGAAGGTGGCGGGTGGCAGTGGTTCGACGGTGGCTGAGGGTAGAAGACGGAGAAGTATTGGTGGTGGTGGTGGGCCGAGAGGGAAGTTCACGGCGAGGTTGAGTGCAATACCTGAGTAGGATAAATTCTTGGGCATTTTCTTTTTCTGAAAGAACTTGTTATAACAAATTAAAGGTAATGGGAATTAGACCCACTTTTTAATATTCACTAGATTAGAACCTGTTGATGGGTGAAGCTTGAGATTAGAGAACTGTTCATTTTATCTTGTAAATAGTAGGTTTTGTAAATAAGTTGAGATTCAAGAGCCGCTCTCAAATTATTTGAGTGATTCGAAATTGGTCATCTTCTTTTTTTAGAATTTTTGTTTTGCTGCTAGTTAACCAATAGTGGGGTTTAATCATGAGTTTTCCCTCAAAGGGTTAATTTGGTAAGCTACTTGGGTTTATTGAAAGTACAATTTTGATAGTAATTCGCGTAACATTTTCATTTATAATATTAACGCTGTTATAAATATATATTATGGATGTTCATTTAGTACTCCATTATGGATAAAGATTACCCCTGGTAGAAGATTATCTATATCTGGTACAGTAGCAGCTTACAAACAACTTACACAGCAGCTTGCAGTAGCAGCTTACAAGCAGCTTACACAGCAGCTTGCAGTAGCATCTTGCTTTCTTCTATAAATAGAGGAGATTTTAGTTCATTATGTACATCAGTTTGAATTCGAATAATATATCAGTTTCTCTCTATACTTGTCTTTCCTTTATAGTCTTTATTTTATAACACGTTATCAGCACGAGACTCTGTCATCTCGAGCAAATACTTTGAAAGTATCAGAGGTATGAACTTTCTTTTTCTAAATAATGTCAAATCTTTCTAAACTTGAATTTGTAGCCCTGGATATATCGGGCAAAAGCTACATGTCTTGGGTGCTTGATGCTGAAATTCATCTTGATGCGATGGGTCTGGCAGACACCATCAAGGACAAGAATCAGGCATCAAACCAAGATCGTGCCAAAGCAATGATATTCCTACGCCATCACCTTGATGAGGGCCTGAAAATGGAATATCTTACTGTTAAAGATCCAGTCATACTGTGGAATAATTTGAAAGATAGATATGACCACCTAAAGATGGTCGTTCTTCCACAGGCACGTTTGACTGGACTCAATTAAGGCTACAAGATTTTAAATCTATCAGTGAGTATAATTCTGCTATGTTCAGAATTATTTCCCAATTGAAATTATGTGGTGATAAAATTACTGATCATGATATGTTGGAGAAAACTTTCACCACTTTTCATGCCTCGAATATGCTCCTGCAGCAGCAATATCGAGAGATGGGATTCAAAAAGTATTCTGAACTTATCTCACATCTTCTTGTAGCCGAGCAACATAATGGGCTATTAATGAAAAACCATGAAAGTCGACCTACTGGTTCTTGTCCATTCCCTGAAGTGAATGAGACGAACTTCCACCAAGCTAAACGTGGAAGATGTCGTGGCCCCATTCGTGGTCATGGCCGTGGTCGGGGAAGAAACTCTAATCATGGTAATACTAATGCACCAAAGAAACCTCCTAACAACCAGCAGTGGAAAAGGAAGGAACAAAAGCATGAAGCGGTGCAAGCCAAAAATGCAGAAAGTGCATGCTATAAATATGGAGGAAAAAGGCACTGGTCACGTGCTTGTCGCACGCCAAAGCACCTGGTTGAGCTTTATCAAGCCTCCCTAAAAAGGACGAGAAAAATGCTGAAGCAAATTTTATTTCTGAAGATAATGTTGACTTCATGCATTTGAATGTAGCTGATTACTTTGCACTCCCAAAAGGAGAAACAAGTCATGTGGTCGCTGATGCATCTGTAGAAATTTAAATTTCTGTTGTTTGTATTAGTTAGTATAGTTATGTAAAAGTATGCTTTGATAATAATATTTACTATAATATTTATTTTGAAGAATATGGATAATCCTCAAATTATGTTTGGATCCAAGACCAATCATGAAGATATTTGTGTAATTGATAGCGGAACAACTCATGCCATATTCAAGAATCAGAAATACTTTTCTTATTTGCATAAGGAAAAAGCAAATGTTTCAACAATTTCTGGTAATATAAGTTTGATTGAAGGCTCCGGAAGAGCCATTATATTTCTCCCTAAGGGAACAAAACTTAATATAAATAATGCATTGTTCTCCTCCAAGTCCCGAAGAAACTTGTTGAGTTTTATAGATATCCGCCGAAATGGATATCATGTTGAGACAATAGATGAAATGAACGTGGAATATCTTTGTATTACAAAGAATATTTCTGGCCAGAAATGCATTGTAGAAAAGTTACCAACTTTAGCTTTTGGCTTATACTATTCAAAAATCAGTACAGTTGAAGCACACTCTATCGTAAACCAGAAGTTTACTGATTCAAATGCTTTTGTGCTTTGGCATGGACGTTTGGGCCATCCTGGATCAATAATGATGAGACGAATTATTGAAAATTCGAGTGGGCATCCACCAAATAACCTGAAAATTCTTACAAATGATGAATTTTCTTGTGATGCTTGTTATCAAGGCAAAATGATCACTAGACCATCACCAATGAAGGTTGGCATGGAATCCCCTGCCTTTTTAGAGCATATTCATGGGGATATATGTGGACCTATTCACCCACCAAGTGGGTTGTTTAGATATTTTATGGTCCAAATAGATGCATCTTCAAGATGGTCTCATGTGTGCCTACTATCATCTCGCAACCTGGCGTTTGCAAAACTATTAGCCCAAATTATTCGATTAAGGGCACAATTTCTAGATTATCCTATAAAGGCTATTCGCCTTGACAATGCTGGAGAATTCTCATCTCAAGCTTTTGATGTTTATTGTCTATCAATTGGGATAAAAGTTGAACATCCTGTAGCTTATGTTCATACTCAAAATGGCCTTGCAGAGTCATTTATTAAACGCCTGCAATTGATAGCAAGACCACTACTTATGAAAATAAAATTGCCCACTACTATTTGGGGCCATGCTATCTTGCATGCAGCATCACTTATTCGTCTCAGACCGACACATTATAATAAATATTTTCCATCACAATTAGTTTTTGGTTATGAACCAAATATTGCCCATCTACGAATTTTTGGATGTGTTGTATATGTGCCAGTAGCACCACCACAGCGTAGTAAGATGGGCCCACAGAGAAGGCTAGGAATATATATTGGGTTTGGATCACCCTCTATTATTCGGTACCTTGAACCATTGACGGAAGATTTATTTACTACTCGATTTGCAGATTGTCGATTCGATGAAACAAATTTCCCACAATTAGGGGGCAGATAAAGGAAATCAAAAGAGAAATTGTGTGGAAAGTTTCATCATTATCTCATTTTGATCCACGTACCCCTATATGTAATCAGGAGGTCCAGAAGATCATCCATTTACAGAATATAGCGAATCAAATGCCAGACGCATTTACCGATTTGAAAAGGATAACTAAGTCACATATCCCTGTAGAGAATGTGCTTATCCGAATTGATGTCCCAGTAGGACCATCTACTAGCATAAGAGCTAGTGAACCCAAAGCACGCCTGAAGCGTGGTAGGCCTTTGGGTTCTAAAGATCGAAATCCTAGAAAAAGAAAATCGACAAATTATCAAAATAATACTATGAAGGGATCTCCTGAAGAGACCCAAAATCTTATTAGTTCTGAGATTCCTAAAGAAATCAATGAACCCGAGAATCAAGTGAGTGAGGAACTTTTAATAAGTTCTACTGGTGATGGATTAATTTAAATCGATCTGAAATAGTGGTGGATAATATTTTTGCATATAATGTTGCACTAAACATTATGCAAGATAATGAGGATCTTGAACCCCGATCTGTCGAAGAATGTCGACAAAGATCTGATTGGCCAAAATGGCAAGAGGCAATTCAATTAGAATTGAAGTCACTTGCTAAAAGAAAGGTCTTTGGACCAGTAGTCCAAACACCTGCTGGTATAAAGCCAGTTGGTCGTAAATGGGTTTTTCTGCGAAAAAGGAATGATAAAAATGAAGTTGAAAGATACAAGGCTCGCCTTGTCGCACAAGGATTCTCACAACGACCTGGAGTCGATTATGAAGAAACATATTCACCCGTTATAGATGCCATAACATTTCGATATCTCATCAGTTTAGCCTTACATGAAAGGCTTAAAATACATCTAATGGATGTGGTT